TAGATTTGGAGTGGGCAATTGGGACCAATATTCCTTCTAGTTTTGTTCTTGCTAAGCAAAATCTATTTATTTTGGGCATGGGCATTTATTTTCATTTCGAACAGTTACTAAGGCAAGGCAAGGCAAGCCAGGTTTATTTATACAGCACATTTCATACACAATGGTAATTCAAAGGGATTTACTTAAAAGGAAATAAAATAATCATAAAAAATAATCACAACGATAAAAGCGAGGTATTACAATTTTAAACTGATTTAAACATTGATTTAACAGGGCTCCAAACTGCGACTAAAACCATCGCATTTGCGACCAAAAATATTAAAGGCAGAGTAAGGGATTTCTGGTAGCCAATGTTGATATTTGTGTTTATAATCATTAATAATATGGCGTCTTCTTAACAAGATCTTAGGTCCATGCTGTGTTCTGTTAATGCGTGAACTTCATTATTTGCGTCCAGTAATCGCAAAAAGCTTTGTTACTTTTTAATAAACAAAGTATCAGCTTTAAAATTATTCAAAATTCATAACGAAATACAAACAATAAATACAGTTTTGTTTTTGGCGCTCTTTAATGCGGCAGGCGCGGTTGCTTTAGCGCCACTTTAAGTGAACCTTAGTTCCCAGGTCATCTACAAGATGGATTAAAACGCTGATAAAATCGAGAAAATATGAGACCTAAACACATGACAGTATGATTGAAATGTTAAAATGTAAAAATAATAATAATAATAATAATAGCCTAATAAAATAAATGAAACACGTTTATTCTGTGGCAGCTAAAAAAATTATTTGGCGCCTACGTTTTTTTCTTATAGGAGCAAATGGCTCCTTACTCGATTTTTTTGTTTGGAGCCCTGTTTAAAATGAATTAAAACAGTTAAGAAGTGTAACTGTCAGACTTTTGTACCTGTTTTGCCCCCGTAGTCCTTCCTGTGTTTCCTTATTTGGTCATTTTCCTGTCCTCGTTTAGTCTGATTGTCTTATGTGATCCACCTGTGTATCTCCAATTATCCCTAGCATTTAAGCTCCTGTCTTTGCGTTTCTCTCTAATTTCTTTCTGACCCAAACTTTTGAATGGTAGTGTATATATGGTATGTATTAATGTAAAGAAAGAAATCATTATAAACCATATTCTCCAAATATAGCATCAGTATCAGAAGTATTGATATTTCAGGATTGATCTGCCCAATCCTGCTATTTAGAATGAGTTTCTATAAAAGTCATCTAACGCAGAGCCGTTGCTTTCTTTATTAGGTTATTCATCATTAGGCTGTTATTCTGTTTATTGCCGCTGTGAACTTCTGTTCTAGGATGCGGTGCAAATTAATCAGCTCTGCATATTTCCGTGTATGACATTTCTGACAGCTTCAGTTCCGTACTGAAAATCAATGCACATCGAAATGGACTCCGGTTGAAATGCCATCCATTTGTTCAGGAAATGAAGGGTTGAAGATATCTGTAGTTTTTTCCACCCGTTTCAGAGTCTGCCGTTTTCTGTCAGGCCTGCAGCAGCAGCATCAGAAGCGTTCATGGGAAACAGAGGTGGGATCGTGCACATATCACCAGTGTTGGGGGTAACGCATTACAAGTAACGCGAGTTACGTAATCAGATTACTTTTTTCAAGTAACTAGTAAAGTATCGCATTACTTTTTTAATTTACAAGAAAATATCTATCTACTTTTTTGAAAAAGTAACGCTAGTTACTTTGTTTTCCCATTTATTGACTGACAATAGTTACTTTTTTAGGGAGTAACACAATATTGTAATGCATTACTTTTAAAAGTAACTTTCCCCAACACTGCATATCACTGTCAAAAAATCCTGGATTTGTGATGAACTTGAACATATTTTGTCACTGTTGGTTGGTCATTTCTTTGCTCTGGTTGCTGTGGTTGCTCCAGAGCTTATGGTACGGCTCATATCTGAATTTGTAGGCATTTAAGGTAAGCTGCTGGCAATTTCGTACGTCAGTGAGTGTGGAGAAGCGCCGATGCCTGGGAAGTCGTCACTGTAGCTCGACCGTCTGGACCTGCGAGGCACATTGTTGTTGCACTTATTGGAAATCCTGCTCCAGATGTTTACTGTTAGATCAAGTCTATAGGTGCAAACCCCATGGCTCGGGAACTTTGTGTCTCCTGGCTAATATCCAAATATTGTGTTAATTAAAAAGTCATATAAATAATGCAAACAGCAGGCATACATTAATTAGGAGATTTATTGCTTAATAAATTAGAGCAAGACCATCAAAGCAGCAGTGCAGATGGCACAACAGGGAAACAGGTGGTTTGTTTGAATGATTTTTAACAGTTATGAAATTATATTTCAAAGGCATATCATTAAAATGCTAGTATCAAAAAAATAGGTTAATATAACGTGTAAATATTGAGTTTTGTCGCATAAAGCAAATACAACCAGAAAATACACTAGCAAGATAAATGTTATAATAAACCACAATGCAATATATGGTGGCATTTATGAGATTAAACATTATATATAGTGTTTATATACTTTCATGTATATTTACTTATTGTACTGTTCTAAAGTTTCAAAAGAAGAAATGTAATACTTTTTTCAGCAAGGATGCTTTTGATGGATCAAAAGTAATGTAAACACGTCACAAAAATTAATATTTTAAATAAATGGTTTGAATGTTATAATTATCAAAGAATCCTGAAAAAGTATCATGGTTTCCACACAAAAAAATTAAAATATTAGGCAGTTCAGCTGTTGCAACATTGATTATAAAATTAATGATTGCTGAAAATTCAGCGTTGCGTCACAGGAATAAATTATATATTAAAATATGTTCAAATAGAAAACAGGTTAAACTTTTAACTGTAATAACATTTCACACTATTATTGTTTTTTTACACTATTCTTAATCAAATAAATGCAAATTTGGTGAGGATAAAAGACTATTTTCAAAAACTTAAACATAAATCTTACAGATCTCAAACTTTTGAACAATGGTGTATAAATAAGGGTAAAAATGTATATGTAAAGTTGCAGCAGTTACCATTTTAATAGGTAAATGACAGATAAACGTTCCAGTTTATTTTTGACACAACCTAATGAAACGTTAGATCGTGTCAGAGGACTGGTGTGAAATGAACATCGTTTCAGCCTTCTACTGGGAAGTCGTTTAGAAAAGTAAAGGCAACTGCTGTAGGCCTCAGTTTAAATGTGTGTTTCTGTATAATCTCAGTGAAGGCAAATAAACATCACTACTTCCTGAAATACTTTCTAGGGGTTAAACCAAACCCTGTGGCGCTGCTGTCTCTCCCATCAGTCTTCGGGCTCTGTTTAGTGACTAGCGCTTCAGTTCCCTGATGTCCGGCACACATAATTAAGAATGAAGTTGTCAGAATGAGTGATGTAGATCCTGCCTCTGTGTGTGTGTGTGTATGTGTGTGCGTGCGTGCGTGTGTGTGTGTGACCCAAAGCTCATGTTCATGTAAATTAATGAGCTCTGCCTCTTATCCAGCCAGCTAATGTCTAGACTGGATGTACCAGCATGATCAAGACCTTATTACTGGAGTGTATTGGGGACTATAGTATGTTTGCACTAGATCATGTTAATTTGACAGATGTCTCATGCTGTGCAGGGCCGACAGTTTATAAAGCAGCAATGTGGCAGCAATTTTGGGTTCTGCTTCATTGAAAACCTGTTGCATGTTTCCTTTCTAAATCCCGGAACATCATTGTTTTTTGATGTTCATTGAACATCATCACTTTTTTTCAGGTAAATTTCATGCCCAATTGCTCTGCAGGAATTGCCTTTAGTTTGCTTGTTTATGAATCGAGATTGTAATGATTTTTTTTTTTGGCCTGGAAGAAAAGGAGGTTCATGGCTGGTGTGGATACAAAGGAAAAGAAGCAATCGCAGGGCAATGTGTTCTGCTTCAGTACTTTAACAAAGCAAGAGACGTGCTGTACTGTAGTTCTGTCTAGATGCTCAAATGTATGTGCAGGGTTTTTTTCTGGCTAGTTTCAAACCATTTCATAAGGTTACGATTTCTTTGAAGATGGTGAAATCCAGAAGAGGTTGAGATTTCCATAGGATTTCTATGCTGAATGTAGATATCTGTAAAAGTGTGTTTTACATGAAATGGCTTGACGAGCAGTTTTGTTTCCTGTTAAAGCAGGAAGTTGGGCCTGGACATAATGCTTTATCTCAGTTACTCTACTGTTCATGCATTTTAATGCATCTGCCTGGCACTTTTATCTGAAGTGACTTACATTTACGGTATACATTTTATCAGTTCTTACATTCCCTGGGAATCTACACTTGACCGCGGTATTGCTAGCACCACGCTTTACTGTTTTATCTACAGGAATATGAGTTTTTAAATGGGTTTTTTTAAATGATTTTTTTTTTAAACAAATCTACATCACTAGTCATGTATTCTAGAAAGTGTTCGATTGGACAAAAAGAGCGAGTGCACAATGAGTCATTAGTATTTTTACAAGGTTGTTTAAAGACTGATTTGTTTTCTCATGGTTATTTGACATGCATGGTATTGTTGTGTATTATGTGTTATGTACAGCACTTTGGATCTGCTGTACATAAAATTTTTTCAACTTCGCCGTATTGCCAAACTCCTTCGTTCCTTCATCAGTCCAAAAGATGCTGAATTACTAGTAAATGCTTTAATCACATCTCGCCTTTACTAAAAGATGATTTTGTCAGTGTTTAACATAACATGCTGCCATAAAGATGACCTCAATTTTGATATTTAAACCTGTGCTGTTTTTGCCACTCACAGTATTGGGTGCTGTAAATATTGTGCACTAAAAAAAAACATTTTATCATCAGAAATGCTCTTAATATTCTCAGTGTTGGAGGGTTTTGGTCAACCAAAAGTTTCAGCACTGTATGGTTTATATGATAATTCATATTGCTTGAACATTCATCTAAAAGCTTGTAGAGATATGAATATGAGATTGTGACAGTGGGATTGAAATGGTGTCCTGTTTTTGTTTTTTTTTTGTCCTTCCAGGTATTCAGCTCTTCACAATGGAAACCACACTGAACAGGAGAAACTGTCAATACAGAACGACACAGAGTCCCAGGAGTGATGTTTCTGACACAGGCCAGCCTCTAATGAGGAGCATCACTGGAAGAGGTGCCATTTCTCACCGCCCTGCCTGCAGCTCAGACCCGACCAGTGCCCTTCAGGAGTCGAGTACAGGGAGCTGCACTGAACTGTTTGCTCAAAGAGCTGCTGAACAATGAGGGAAAGAACAATGTTGCCAAAGGTATCTGGTCTGTATTTTAGGATACGAATTTCCATTGCAAAAGAATGTTGGTAAGGGTTTTCCCAATGTGTTTGTTTCCTTTTTGGTTCTCCTGGGAATACTATTTCCAAACCAAAAAGACGTCGTTCAAGCTTTATCCAGAGAGGCTTTTTTTAGCTCTAGAGTCAGGATAACACTTCCTGAAAGCTACGGCACAAGTGCTGAACAGCTAAAGAAAGATTTATTTTTATTCTATAAAGGAAAAAATAAATTCACACCACAGTATTACGAGTTAGAGCTGGGAGCATTGCTGAGCGATTTCTCTCATTTCTATTTTTTAATTGTTCCATTAATGAATTCTCAAATCAACAGTTCTAATATAGGATTGTCACATGAATTGAAATGTAAAATGTTAAAAACAACAGGTCTATTTCAAAAATATTTGGAAGCCTGTTTCCGCCACTAAATTAAAAAAGCTAATTGCAACTTTTTATCTCACAATTCTGACTTTTTTTTTCTCACAGTTCTGAATTTTTTCTCAGTATTTTGCGAGTTCTAAAGTTAGAATTGCATGATAGAAACTCAGAAGTCTGAGAATTCTGAGAAATAAAGTTAGAATTACAAGATATAAACTCGCAATTGTTAATAAAAAATATAAATTACATGATATAGACTCGTAATTCTGAGAAATAAAGTCAGAATTGCAAGATATAAACTTGAAATTGTGACTTTTTTTCGTAATTGCAACTCTGTATCTCGCAATTCATTTGCCAGTTATTAAGTCAGAATTGCGAGATATAAACTTGCACCTGTAAGAAAATATACGTTTTTTCCTCCTCAGAATTGGACTGTATAATTGCGAATATATATCTCACAATTCTGAGAAAAAAAGTCAAAACTGCTAGATACAAACTTGCAGATTTATCTACTTGCAGTTTATATCACGCAATTCTGAGAAGAAAGTCAGAATTGCAAGTTCATATCTCACATTTCTGACTTCATTTCTCAGGATTGCACGTTTATATCTTGCAATTTTGACTTCATAACATGCAATTGTGAGTTTATATCTCAGTTCTGAGAAAAAAGTCCGTTTTTTATTCAGTGTCGGAAACAGGCTTCCATAAAAATATGCCCCAAGATTCTTCAAAATGATTTAATAAAAACACTGCTTTTTAGACTTCTTAAATGGATCATCCTTATACAAAGGATTTTGACAGGAAATTCACTTTTGTTTTCTTCTAGCCATGAAATCTGGCTTGAGGAAACCATAAAATCTCCATTTTCTTGCTGTGAACTGAAATCTCATTTATGTAGTATAAGACTTCAGAAGTTCTTTGGGGAATGAAATGTACTACTCGCAGACTGGTTGATGTAATTTGGCTTCTTGTAAACCTCTCTGAATACACAGACCCACAGGTGACCGTTCTCAGTCAGGTCAGCTCTGCGCTTCACATTCATCACTAAATGCATCCATTTGCACGACGGTTTCCGCTGCGAGGATCTCCTCTGCCGTGATTCACTGGCATAAACAGCGCAGTGTTTTTCTGAGAGCGCTAAAACTACATGATGCCTGCTGACTGAGAATGTGTCAGGCCACTCCAAACAAAACCTCTGACAGCAACCAGTTCTCCCAGATACTGTCTTAAAATGTTTTAGCCTTAATGAAGATGACCATCGGTTACTGCAAGACTGAAATGTTTAAAAAGAAATTACCTTAAGTTGTCCTTGCAAAAGTTCTTAAAGGCATAGTTCATCCAATAATGACAATTTACTATTTATTCACCCTCGTGTTATTTCAAACCGTGTCAGCTTCTGTGAAACAAAATGCCATTTATATTCAAAATAGTGAATTTTGCAGTGAATTTTTGCAGGCGAAAACCAGTCATTTCAATACGAATCCACACAATTGAGAATTTCACATAAAGGTGATAGATTTATCATGCAGATTTCACATTGGGTTCAAGTTGGTTAAGCAAATTTGCCACATTGACCAAACATCTGCTTGGTTTGAAAATGACTTCTGTGTGAGCTGTGCTTCATATATTTCTACACTGTTTACAATGGAGCTTTTTGCCTAAAAAATTTTGCCTAAATATTGTAATGAAAATAGGAGGAAATACACCATGAAACATTTGTGTGTGTGTGTGTGCGTGTTTTTGTGACAAATGAGGACATAAATTTGTATAATGACAAGGGTATGACATAGGTATTACAAGGAGAAGGTGACTTTTCAGGACATTACCCCATGTCCCCACTTTTCAAAACGTATAAACGTAACATATAAATCACACAGAATGGAGTGTATTGAAAATCTGAAATAGCACAAAGTTTCCTGTGAGGGATAGGTTTAGGGGTAGGGTTGGTGTAGAGCAATAGAATATACGGTCTGTACAGTAGAAAAACCATAACGCCTATGTGACAACTTATACAAGCTAATCTGTTATTACTCATGCATAAAAATGACATGCTATATAATACTGAGCTAACAACAAGTTTAACATAAACAGTTGAATGATTTCTGTCTTTTATGACTAGTTCCACAATGTTCTGAAATGTTCCAGAAAGCACTAGAATATTACAGAAACTTCTAGAATGTTCCCTTTCTTTGCAAAATCAAAATATCTTAAAAAAAAAAAAACATGCAAAATTAGTAAAAAAAAAAAACGTATCTGTACTAAACCAATGTTCCATAATAATGATAGAAGTTCTACAATTTACCTGACCTAAATATTTACCAAAATATTGATGCTACGTGAAAATAAATAGTACAGTAATACTTAGCACCACAGAATTACAGAAGAACCATAACAAAAATTAAATGAAACAAATTTTTGTTACATTGCGATATTCTTCTACCATTTTCCATAAAAGAAATCAAGTCCATATGGGTTTGGAACAACATGAGGGCGAGTAAATAATGACAGAATTTTCATTTCTGGGTGAAGTGTTCCTTTAAGAATATGTCATGTGAATGATTCCTAGTTATGAGGAGAGGAAATACAGCTGCTGCAGGAGTTTGTCTTGAGAAAACAAATTTAATGGAAAACCCATGCAGATGAATTTTTGTTCCTTGACACTTCTAACTAAAACCTCTCAAAGCAATGATGTGCCATAATAAAGCTCGCTTCCAGAGCTGAGGACCCCAATAAACACGCTTCTCAGAGAGCCTGGATATAGCAGAACTGACCCAGAACAATCTCCATCCCTCATTCCAGCACTTGCCCGTCTGCCTCAAATCAATTACCTTCGGGAACAGCAATTGTTTGAATTGATCTTAGAGATGTAAATATTTTTAAATAACTACGTTTCATGTGTCAGCCATCAGAAAAACAGGTTTGGTTTTATTTGCTATTTTGCAGGGATGTACTGACAGCGCCACACTAAAAAATATCAAACGTGTACAGCTCAGCACTGTCCTCATGCGTCGGTTTCCTGATTTTAAAAACGAAAAGCTCTCCTGCAAATAAAGCACTTGTAGCACTTTTATAGCATGAAGATTATTGCATCCACAAGTCGTTCAGTATTCTGGTCACGAATATGTTATCGCAGACCAAACTTAATATTGGAGGAATATGAAAGTTGATGAATGAATTTGACTCGCGTGATCAGTTTTGATCAATGTAATCATTTCTAAGATTTGATCAACCAATGGAAGAGTCTATTATGGCTTTATTAGTTCCAATACGAACAGAGCTAGCTATACATTACCTAGCTCCAGGGAATGCCCACTTTAGCTTTCTTTTCTCATCTTCTCATGTTTTTATCAACCGATATTTAATTTCTAAAGGTAGAGCTTAGTTTGATTTTATTGTACATAGGAATATATTTTTATGCAAACTATTTGATAGTGGTCCGTGTGTTCCTTTAAATGCTTTAGTCGAACGCGTTTCTTCTTCCAGTCTGGTGTATCAGCGAACGCTGACCATGAATCTAGCGTGTCATTGGAGGCGATGTCCAGATAAGCTGTATGCCAGGCTACTTGTTTTTTTACAATCAAACATGTACATGGTCGTGCCTTCACAGCTATCTTACGGATGTACAGAGCATTGTGAAACTGTGCAAGTTCATGCTGGTAGTGGTCGAATATGTTTCCTTTTAAGAGGTTGTAATGTACAATCAAAGGCAAACCAGCCACCCGCAGGGCTCTGATGAGTTATAACGTCCAAATTATCGATCTTCGGTTTTCATTTGTACAATTTGAATTATGTAGCACCTTTTAATTCCGAGGTACTTTGCCGTTATTTAACAGTAAGCGGTTTTGTCGGTCCAACAACTTGCACAATTTCCTATCTGTGTTCTTTGGATGTCATTATGTTGTTTAAAGATGGAGATTTTGCAATGGTTGACGCTTAGGAAACAAGAAATGCATGCTGTTTTGAGCGCCGAAGGATGTGGAAGGAAGGATTTGGGGGAATGCCAGTATACTCCATAGCCATGACAGAAGCAAAAACACTCCTACATGAGCCCTGAGTTATTGCTTGGAAAAGATTTGCGTCAGAAATAACTCTCCCCGAACCTTCATGGACCTTCAGGGTAGTCATTACCGTCAGGATTTCATGCGAAATGATGAAACCTTACATATGAAGCGTGTTCAAACACCTCGAGGCCCTGAAGGCAGAAGTTCTAAGCATGAATGTGTTGTAAATCTCCCAACAAGTTGTAGAACTTTTGTAAACTCAGTATTTATTTTGGTGGATTTCAGATCGATATTTTCATGTAAGGCTTCTCGTTCAGGGAGCTATGTGTATTACTTTTTCTGTTGCTATGTGACAGCTCTAAAAAATTATAATTAAAGACTACGAGATGTTATTAATCCTTATGTGTTTTGTGTTTTATCAAAATGGCATGCCAGATTTGCACACTAACACACTATCAATCAAAATGAATCCTTGTATATTCTGTTTAAAGGACAGATGATATAGACAGATCATCATGAAGCAGAATGATATTTTTGGATACATTTGTGAAATCTGACAGTGATTATGAGACGAGTAAAACTCTTCTCCACATGGCCATTTTTT